GAAGAAATGTTTGTTCTTCATTCGCTGGCGCCAACAAGACAAAATGGTTGAGCATCGTTGGACTACAGAAATTCAATGTAGGCTAAAAAAACGAAATTCCCTTAAATGCCGAAATATATTTGTCGATATTCGTGGAGACCTCTTGATTCTGCCAAGTCGCTGTAAAGTAAAGCATGCAATGGTTTTGGTAAATGAGCCAACGAAGGTATCCTGGTGTCTCCGAATGAGGCTTTGACGCAATATAACATTGCCAAACCGCATCCATAGGCCCAATCGTCACACGACAGTTCGGTTTAGTCAATGGCACGATGTATGTAATTGCACACTTAAAAGGTTTACGCACGAGGCGAATGTTGGCTGGCGACCAACTTTGTTGAAAGCGATTAGTTGAAAGTAGAATGCAAAGTTGAACAATGCAAACGCCTTTTTATGGCGAATATTTTTATATTTTTTTATATTTTGATATTTTTAATCATTAAATTTTTTTTCGGGCAACCCGGCGAATGGTTAATATTCTGACAGTTGTATAGTCTCCCCAGAATATTAAAAGTGCGACATCAAAGAATTCGAATTACCATATTCGAAACAATCGAGCCATATCCGCGAAGGAAACGTAAGCTCCAAATTTTTATATTTGCCGTTTTTTTTTGTTTAATAAATACTGCATATTTTCCACAAACAAATAGCTTCTTCATATCCATCATCTGGCAAACAAATACAACAAAAAAAAGCTGAAAGTGGACCATCCTCCATCCATTCTCGAGTTATGCGCCATCTGACGTACGCAAGTTTGGTATATACATAGAAATATTTATTTTCAATAACAATCGGGGGTTATATTCGAAGTAAGTAAGCTTGTTTAAATTAAATAATTAAATCAAATTCGCTTTTGTTTTAAAATACCACCATTCACTATTATCCACACCTTTTTATGGAATTTAGCTCCCATTTTAGGAAGTGTGATTGAATTCTTCCCCTTTTTCTCCTGCTTCCATAAACCATCCCTGTGGGTGGGAGTGCCAAATTTTAGAAAAAAGCTACTTACAAAACCTTTAATAATTGAATCATGGTAAATATCTATATACATACATATGTACGTATGTATGTATATCTTGAGAACGCTCTGAAAATCAAATCAACGATAGACGTGCCCAAAAACAAAGTACACACGAACTTTAGAAATTGTGGTCATTTTGGTTTTTTGTATCTTATTGCGCACCATTTTTTTTGCACGGATATTGCCTTTAGTTACTCAGCAACATTATGAAAGTCAGCAAACAAAAATTTTTGCAAACTTGGTTAAAGACTTCTTTCTACGCGGAATCTCCAATTCTGGGCAAAATTTATACTTTTCAAGTGCAAACATGTTGAGAATGATCTCAAGTCGAGGAGCACAATGTTTTCCATATAAAAGGCTTAGTGAAACACAAGGTTGGAGGTTGGCGACATATGGATTGTAGTACTTAACATATCCCCCAAACAAATATTTAGGTTAGTAAAGTTTTAGCTTAAGTTAGCTGGGACGGCAGTCCTCTGGGTCTTTTGTGATACCACATTTGGTTTACAGTTTTCCTTTCCCCGTTCAGCTATAAACTACTTGATACTTAGCAAGGAAGGTCATACGCCTCTAATAACAATTGTTTTAAGGTCGTCGAAAAAGTAACTGCCAAGAGATGATTTTGTTCTCGGTTAGATGGTCTTCTCTCGTCCTGGTTCATGCAGCTTCTACAGTAGTCGTTCCGAGGTACGTCCAGTATGGCTGCGTGTAATCCAATCAGACAAATTGCGGTAAAATCTCCAGTACTAAGTATGCGAATGTCTTGCCTCCGTACCTGAAGTGTGGACTTAATACATTGGGCATTTATGTCTGGCAATTTCTATGGATTTTTCATTCACTAGAAGCTTATATATCTAAAGAGGAATCAAAAGTTATCAAACCAAATTCTATGGAACTGAGAAATATTATTTTCTAATTTTTTTCCCGTTTATAAAAGCGTGGTATATTAAAAAGTTTTTTATTTATTTATTTTATTCTATGGATAAGATTTCGAGCTATTTTGCGGTGTACATGGCGTATGAGTAACATTCTTTCCTGCTAATTTTTCTTACGAAAAATCTTTGCGCATTTTCATATGACTACTTATTACTTCTTTATTTATCCATTGATTTTCGTCATTATCAGCTTAATTTTTTTTTAACAACACAGGCTTTTTAACACAGCCTTGAGTATACTAAACGTGCGCTCGACGTGAGTTGATACACATGGCGCCCAATTTAAAGATGGAACGTTTGAAACTTTTATATTATCAGGAATAAGGGTAAGCAAAAATAGGCAACTATCTTAAAAAAGGCAACATCAAATGTATATATTCCCCCGTGGATATTCTTTATCCAATATACTCTATCTCTTTAGTAGAAAAAAGGCAATTTCCATAAAATCCGTTTCCTGTTGATAACCGTCAGCGGAAAATTTTTAAAATCTCATTTGTACATAAATATGTACATTAGGGTAGTGCTAAAAATATCAGTATCTACATTTTGTAAGGAGCATCCCTTTATTTTGTTCTACGTACAAAATAAAGACATCCAAGAAAATTTAAAAATTTTGAACAAATTTCTACAGGTCACTACCAGGGTTTGAAAAAACTTAATATTTTTTTAATCGCAAACATTTGTCAAAATTTTGACAAAAAAAAAAATGAAAAATTTCACAATTTATTCACATAAATGCGTAAACTCGCTGAGCTATGTTTAGTCAAAGTAAAAATTTTGTGGAATTTCCAACTTTGAAGCGAAAAAATTAACTTTCTCAAGGGATTCAACTCGAATCCCAAGTTTCACAAATAAATTTTAAAATTTATCATACTGTTAAAATTTAAAATAACAAATTTTCTGAACAAAATTTTACGATCAAAATTTTGTAATTTCATGGCCTTATTCATAAAAATAAAATAGGTTTAAGGAGCTTTATGAAGTGCCATTTTCATGCAAATTTTCGATTTATAAAGCAGTTAAAGTCTTCTTTATTTTTTATGAATTTGGGTGTTAAATTTTAACAGGTTGATAAATTTAAATTTGATTGAAAATGTTCGGCCAAACAATTTTTTTTTCTCGAAATTCTTTTGCAAAAATACTTTAGATTCGAAAGTGGACAACGAACTTTTTTTCTATGGTACGGTCTAATGTACATGCTACATAAATATTGTGGAAAATTTTTTTTCTTAATGCCAAAACTTTTTCTGTTCAATGGTAAGTGGCATTCGAAAGCTATTTATTAATTAT